ATTGAGCATAGTGCTTAAGTCCTCCAGCGATTCTGCCATAAGGACTATATCGTCGGCAAATCGAAGGTGAGTGATGTACTCGCCATTGATGTTAATACCGTATCCTTTCCAGTCCAGTAGCTTGAAAACGTCTTCCAAAGCAGCGGTGAAGAGTTTCGGGGATATAACGTCACCCTGTCTTACACCTCTCTGCAGTTGGATAGGTTTCGAGCTCTGGTTCTGTACTCGGATAGCCATCGTAGCCCTACTGTACAAACACTTCAGCACTTCGATATACCGACAGTCAACTTGGCACCGCTGAAGGGACTGCAGCACCGCCCAAATTTCGACGGAATCAAAGGCTTTCTCATAGTCCACATACGCCAGGCAAAGTGGCAAATTGTACTCTTCAGTCTTCTGTACAATCTGCCGCAGGGTATGTATGTGGTCTATGGTACTGAAGCCTTTTCGGAAACCGGCTTGTTCGGGAGGCTGGAAGTCGTCGAGTCTGCGTGCGAGACGATTCGTAATGACTCTCGAAAACAGCACGTAGACGCGGCTCAGAAGGGAAATCGGTCTGTAGTTCTTTAAGAGAGCGTTGTCGCCTTTCTTAAAGAACAAGACCACCGCACTTCTGCTCCACGCCTCTGGAGTAGTGCCACCATGGAGGACGGAATTGAAGAGCTTCTGAAGGACTTCAAGTACCGGTGTTCCACCCGCTTTCAGAAGCTCCGCTGTAATTCCATCCTCGCCTGGGGCCCTGCCGTTTTTAAGGTGCTGGAGAGCCATTCTAATCTCGCTTAGACTGACGTCCGGGATATCATCGGAATAGTGTCGGATAAGACTTGCTCTTGGATCGTTACTCACACTTACGTGTGGCTCCAACGATGATGTGTACAGCTGCCCATAGAACCTCTCAATCTCACTCAAAATCTCAGGTGTCCCGGAAACGATGCTGCCACACTCAGTCTTCAGCCTTGACAGTTGGCTCTTTCTGGCAGACAGATCTCTGGCAAAGACTTTGGAGCCCTGGTTCCGCTCGATCGCTTCTTTAATACGAGCAGTATTAAAGTTGCGTAAGTCTCGCCGCATGCATTTGGAGATCTGTCTGTTCAGTTGCCTGTATGCTGTCAAATCTGTTGACGATTGCAGCCTCATCTCCCGTCTAACAGCCATGAGATTAAGAGTGTGATCGGAGAGTTTTTGTGTTCTTCTGCGGCGGGTCTTGCAGAACTTAGCTCTGACCGCATGGACAGTTTCCACGAGCTTGTCATTCATATCGTCCACTGCATTGCAATCTTGTAGGCACTGAAAGCGGTTGTGTAACTCGAGCTGAAAGTTTTCGGGATTTTGGATCAGAGCACGAGGGGGGACGGAGCGTTGACTTCATTAGCCGAGACCTCTCCAACTTAACGTTTAGGTTCAGTGTGCCTCTAACCATTCGGTGATCGCTGCCAGTTTTCACCCTTGCGATCACTGAGACATCACTGAACAGTTGGCGTTTGGTCGTCATAATGAAGTCAATCTCATTTTTTGTCGAACCGTCGGGGCTCGACCAGGTCCACTTCCTGTGGGGCCGCTTCTGGAAGAAAGAGTTCATCATAAAGAGTCCCTCTTTCTCCATAAAGTCGGCCAGCTGCTGGCCCCCTTCGGTTCCGTTGCCCTACTCCAAATTTCCCTAACTTCAGCTCACCGCTTTCTCTTGTGCCTAGTTTTGCGTTGAAGTCTCCCATCAACACCGTGTAGTGGGTTTTGGAGGAATGTATGGCTTTGGAAATATCCTCATACATTTCCTCCACCTCCTCATCGGAATGTGCCGACGTTGGTGCGTAAACCTGTATGACCTTCAGCGAATACCGTTTGGTGATTCTGAGTATCAGGTACGCGACCCTCGTCGACACACTCTCAATCTGTACAACGTTGTTGACGAGAGACTTGTGGACGATAAATCCGACACCTCCTTGGGACAGATGGTCGCCCTCCCGGTGATAGAACAAGTTGCCGGATTCGAGAATCACCGTGTCCTCCCCCCTCTCTTCGGACCTCGGATAATCCTATAATACTCCAGCGCAACTTGTCTATCTCTTCTTCCAGCTCCAGGATCTTCTCGTCAGTCCTCAGTGTGCGTGCGTTAAATGTTGCCAGGTCGAGTCGTCGTAGGTGGCAACCGAACCTCCACCGGAGATTCTTAGCACCCCCTGTATATATATATATATATATATATATATATATATATATATATATTTATCCTCTTTTCTCTAGTTATTAGAACGTCTATTACTGAGACACTTTCAGTTAATTAGTTATATCTTAGCGTGATACTCCTGGATGGTGAGAGTGAGCGCGCAATGTCATTTTCTGTTTTTCGCAGATGTTAATTGTTGGACTAAGTGGCTACGCCTCCTGAGATTTTGCGTTTTTATAAAATATCCCTAACGCAATAATGTTGTTGCATGAATGCTAGAGATATGTGTATGCGAAATTGTGTATTTATTGTTTGTCTATATGTGTTAGCTGCGAACCGGCGACACGCGTCCCGATATTAAAAGACAGTAGAAGGCATTTCTAGTACCTTACTATTTAGATTTCTGTGGGGGGAACACACAACCGACCATCACGCGGTGTGAGTGCTTCATGCCGGATGTGCAGTTTACACAGCGCTCGGTTCGCAGATCACGCCTCTTCTTCCTGGACTTCAGTAAGTCGAGTAGGCCTGATCGAGTCAGTCCCATTGTGCTGAGGACGTGTGCTACGGAGTAGGCACCGGTTTTGACGCGTCTTTTCCGGTTCGCCTACTCCCAAGACGTAGTCCCGAATTCTTTAAGATAGCTTTGGGCTACCCAATACCTAAAAAGGGCCACCGTTCGAACCCGTCCAACTACAGGCCTATCGCCATCACCTCCTTATTCTCCAAAATAATGGAGTCTATTGTAAACTGCCAGCTCATGGGGTACTTTGATCACCAGCTGATCAGTGACCGCCAATACGGTTTCCGTCGTAGTCGATCAGCTGGTGGTCTTCTGATCTACCTTACACATAGATGGGCGGAGGCAGTAGAGTCAGAGGGGGAGGCTTTGGTTAGTTTGGACATAGTGAGGGCCTTCGATCGGGTCTGGCACAAAGCGCTTTTTTATAGGATAGGGTACCTACACCTGATGGTAAGTGGTTGCTACGGCCCATAGACATCTACATTTATCCTCGATTACAAATCAATGCAGATGCGTTGTCACCCTTGAGTACTAAGGTGTAATGCCTCGTTTCCAGTAAAAAAGGACTCCGGTTCTCTACACTAACCATAAGAAAGACAGCAGCATTAAGCTACTATTTTACGCTAGTATTCTGTGAGAGCGTGGTCCTTCCTCGGTCGACACGACCCATTTGTGCTACAACCACACTACTAATATAACTGCAGCATGGCTCTACCACGTATGAAATCTTTCGAAACTCCCTTCCTATGAGCTTCCCGAGAAATTGTAAGATTGGATCGCTAGTTTTCTTGCCAATCGGAGCATCAAGGTCGTAGTAGACGGTGCATGCTCTGATTACAAGCCTATTAAAGCTGGTGCGTGCTATCGTCACCAACGCTGTTTCTTCTGCATATCAATGATATGTTGCAAACTGATAACATTCATTGCTATGCAGACGACAGCACTGGTGATGCCTTATACACCGGCGTGCCAATATTTCTCAGGAAATCGGCGCCGAGTACGTAAGTAAGTACTTGTGTCTGAAGTCGAGTCTTTGCTTAACAAAGTCTCGGATTGGGGGCGACTAAATCTAGCTCAATTCAATCACCAGAAGACACAAGTTTGCGCTAAAAAGAACTGTAAAAAGAACCGCTTTGTCGTGCTCTGCAGATCGAGACAGTATTTCATGCCGGCACATAGCTTGCAACTTTACAAGGCTAAAGTTCGGCCTCACATGGAATACTGTTCTCATCTCTGGGCCGGGCACCCCAGTGCCAGCTCCTTCCACTTGACCGCATCCAGCACAGAGCGATTCGAATCGTCGACGACCAAGTTCTTTCTGATCGGCTCGATTCACTGGCGCTGCGTAGGGATGTTGCATCTCTTTGCGTTTTCTATCGGTATCTACCATGGGGAGTGTTCCGAGGGATTGTTCGGATTAGTTCCAGCCGCCAAATTTCATGAACGCACATCGCGTCAAAATTCCTGATACCATCCACACCATATGGATGCTTGGCGGTCCACTACTGTACGTTTTACTAGGAGTTTTCTTCCTCGTACAACTTCTCTGTGGCATTGTTTACCACCGACGACTTTTCCGGACCGACACGACTTAGGGACCTTCAAGAAAAGAGCTTACTCCTTTCTAAAAGGCCGGCAACGCATCTGCAATTCCCCTGGTGTTGCGGTTGTTAATGGGTGGCGGTAGTCACTTACCATCAGGTGAGCCGCATGCTCGTTTGCCCCCTCTTCTTTAAAAAAAATTAAACGATAACACCAGAGGCAACAGAGGGGAAAAACCGGGAAATGGGCGTTAGGCAGCAGCGTCTTCTTAATAATAACTCGAAAAAAAAAAAGAATTGTACCTATAACGTAAAACCTATGGGGAGATCCATGTTCAGTGAACGATAGGCTGTAATGAATGAAGGAATATTATATGTTTAAATGTAGCGCTCTGTGTGTAATACCATCCATTCATGCATCCGTTACTGACTATAAAAGTGCACTGCTGAACACAGGACTCCCCCATAGATTGCCTCATAGGAAGGATTTTGCTATAGTTGCCACGCTTGACGGTCGGGTTGGCAACCACAGTTTTTTTATTACTTTGAATTGTTATTAGGAAAATGCTGATGCTCATCTTTCTTTTTAATTTGTCTTTCTCCCCCCCTTGCGACACCCGCGAGATGAATTGAGGTAGTGAATGTGTTTACACCACCACTACACGGTTTACAACGTACAACGGTACGTGATGCCGTTGTTAACCGTATAGTGGCGGTTGAAAATTTCACATTTTCAAGGGTGGTTTAGATGTTATTTTTTCTATGTTTATAGACTTCTAGAAGAAGTCGAAAGTGGCAAAAAGAAATTGGAAGCAGATTTTTCAATAGACCCAGCCTTTGAATTGGCACAGCTAGTCTACGGTGACAGGAACAACCCGGGACCTCTTCTCACTCCCGACCTAAGCTTCTGTATCGTGTCCGGGGAGAACTGCGCTACATATCCGCGACAGTTTGATTTATGTGTGAGTACATACATATTTGAACGAAAATAGTTTTTACGGATATTATTACGTTTATTAACTTATTTTATATTCCCGACATTTGGAGTAATTTACTGCACCCATGGTCACTGGAGGACTGAGATATTCGTCGTCCCAATGTCATAGTTAACCACGACTACCTCCAGTTTTAAATTGGTTTATTTTTGGTCCGATCTACGCGGAACGAGCTTATGGTATCTATCTTGACGTAATGATGAAGCGTGACATATTATATCATAATTAAGTGAAGATTACGGAAAATCCTTTAGTGTGTAAGGCAAATCTCTATACCGTCGAGTCCGGAACACAGTCCAAGGTCTGCGGTAGTCACTTACTGCGGACTGTAGGTTCCTTTGTCACTTCAGTTATATAAAAATAATTTAAAAAATAATTTGCAAAAAATAGGAAAGAGGGTGGTGCCTGCCCAAATGGACTCCCGGACAGAGAAGGAGTCACAGTCCGTGAACTTCCACTTCTGGAGATCGATCTCTTCGTTGATTTACCTTAATCGCTTTATTTGACAGGCGCCTGAGCGTACACAGTCCACCGATAGTACGGGTATACCCATGATGTAGATGTAGATGTCTATGGCCCATGGACATCTACATCTACCCTCAATTAACGCAGATGCGTTATCAACAGACACAGATACAGAGACAACAGACAGAGAGACAGACAAAGATGGATTGCTAATAACATAAATATAACCATACTAACCTTACGAAACACAGGAGAATAAAATAACTTTTCATTATTATGTAGTGTCGTGTAGACCCCCCCTTCCCAACCGACAATTTAATAAGAGATTGATTGAGTTGAAGGATTTTAAAATGTAAAGTTTTCGGTAGGGTAGTCCCATACCTGAGGAGACGATCTATTTCGCTGTGAAGACCTGGAGTGGATTTCACTCGACGAGAACTAAGGTTGTGAAGAAGACGTGGGGCAAACATGTCTCGAATCTGTACTTTTTTAGCGATGAAGCTGGTGAGTGATGATGTGGAAACAGTTTTCAATCAATAATGGGAATACCACTTGCTGGGTTTTTATATTTTAAAAACGCTTCGTTTTCTTTTACGTGCCTTTTGCTGTAAATGAAGTGCATGAAACAATTCATTAATAGTTAAAGAATTTATTCATTATCAGTTGAACTGGTATTTATTAATTAATACCAGTTCAACTATTTATGAATTAATTTAAAGTCATCCTAAGTTGCTGAATGAATCGTTTGTAATATAAACTATTTTTACATGCACTTTGTATGTAATAAAACGGATCGTTACATAGAACGAGAACTTTCTTATATACGGGAATCTAAGGATAGGGTTAATTACGAAAATGGTTATTTATTGTCTGTGACACCATTTCAGATCCATCCATTCCAACAATAGATACGGGCGTACCAAATACTAAAACCGGACATTGTGCCAAAACCATAGCCATATTGAAACGAGCGGTCAAAATGGTGGAAGAAATGCCGCACATTAAATGGATATTCTTAGCTGATGACGATACTATTCTGGGGTGAGTTATTGTAGAATTTTAAGAAAGTAAATATGCTATAGCCCGATGGTTTAATCAACCAGTTAATCGAACTTCCACAGTGCTAGTGAAAACGCAACGATGTTAAATGACAGCGTTCCAGGGGCTGATAATGAAACTTAAATTAAACGTCATAGAGCTCGTGTTTAGAATTATAATACGAGTACAAGCAATTTAACTAAAGAGTTGGATATTAAATGTCGGCATTTAATACCTACATAATTAAGTAATTTTGAGTCGGCGCCTAACAAGTAAATTAGTTAATTACGTAAAGCGTGATGCGCGGCACGACACGCCCTTTCGCCGGAAAATTCCGATCTTTCACGAAGTTAATGTCAGCGAGACAGCACACCGAGCGGGTACACACGTGAGGGCACACGTCGTTGTGAGCGTTCGTGCGGAGAGCTTATTTTTTGAAATGTTAATGTTTATCGCTGAAGATTTCACGTTGAATTGTTAATTTAATTTGGTTATTTTTTAAATTTAAGGTAATTTAGTGATCTTTGTTCATTGATCGCTTGGCGCCGACTCAAAATTACTTAGGTATGCTTACTTATTAGTTTAGGAACTTAGTTGTTAAGGTAAAAGAAAAAAATATTTACTATTTTTTGCTTTTCAGTTTTTTCGGCGGATTAATTTTGTTGTTAAAAAGTTTTTATTTTACAATTTTTTGTAACTATAATTTACTAATAACTACATGCTTAATTTTCGATTACTTTTAAAAATTTAAAACTTTAGCTATTAACTGTTATATAAACCTACATTAACTATTTTTTTAAATCTGTATTCGACCTCGGAACTACTACTCCTCGGACTAATCAGTAATAAATCACCTCCATTTTACCACCCTTAGGGTAAACATTTTTTTTCCAATTTTATATGGGACCAATTTCAAGGTATACCCTATCTAATATAAAAAGAACTATCAAAATCGGACTACTCTGTAATAAAAAATCACCCCTATTTTCCCACCCTTAGAGTAAAAAAAATTCCAAATTTATATGACCAGTTTCTAGGTATAATCTATCCATTAAAAAATTATCAAAATCGGACTAATCTGTAATAAATCACCTCCATTTTACCACCCTTAGGGAAAACATCTTTTTACCAAATTTATATAGAACCAATTTCGAGTTATACCCTATCCAATAAAAAAAATATCAAAATCGGACTACTCTGTAATAAATCAGCCCTATTTTCCCACCCTTACGGTAATTTTTTTTTCCAAACTTATATGGGACCAATTTCGAAGTACACCCTATCCATTAAAGAAAGAATTATCAAAATCAGACTTCTCTGTAAAAAGTTATGCGTGGTCAACGACTACACAGCCCGAATAGACGCCTAATGTATGTACTTCTGCATCCAAACCTGTCTGTCAAAAGTCTTAGGTAAGTGATACGGTGGAGGCGGGTTGAAATGCACGCTAATTGGTTAAAATCAAGGTTGCGACACTTGCTAATAAGCAAATAGTGATGGGAACTTTAACTAATAAATTTGGTACCAACTCTACTTAATCAGTACCAGAATTATATTCTACTACAAATTAGTACAATATAAAAAAAACAAAAGAAGTTTTATTTAAGTAGGTGTTCTATCGTATTTAGTAAAATACCTATAATTTTTTGTTTAAAGAATATTTTTTATTAAAACAAGCTTTCTTTACAATATTGAAATAATAATAGAATACTATTAAAATAAAATAGTGTTGCGCGCCTAAGTTGATATCTGGCACTTGCGCCATCTAGTGTCGGGTAACAGAGCGAGGAATGCTTTCCAGAAAATGACATGACTAATCTTTCAACCGACAGCGCCATCTAGTATCGAATTGAAGAACTAAGCTTTCTAGAAGCCCTACACTCGAACTTTCGGCGCCTGGTCGGTTGGCGCGCGTATTTACTTGAATATTCTGGATGTTTCGGTGTAAAAGTGTATTATTTAAACCCGCAGCATGCCACGATCGGGGAGTATTGAATTTGGCGAGACAAGCGAAGCTTCGGAGTAAAATAAAGAGAATCAGTGTGATTAATTATTAGTGTCTTTTAAGTTTTAATTAGTGTAAAGTGAATTAAAGTGTTAACTTTGGTAATTCAATCGGCAGTTTTTATTGTCACGAACCCTAAGCTCGTAACAATAGCAACAGTTATTTAAACTGTCAAGTTCACTTCCGTTTCCTACTTGTTTGACATGGCGTCTTAGCAGGAAGGAGAGCGAAGTGCCGTCTATAAAAATTATATCTTATTATGAATTTTTTAAGAAGTTTTGAATAAATTGATTTATATAAATCAATTAATTCAAATATGGATTAACGTACATTCACTAAAAAATTCAGCTTACACCTGTCGCTTATATGCGATAACATGCATAGTATTTACTTGTACCAATAATATAGTTTAACTGGTGCAGCACTAGTTACACGTGCCGGTAATTAAAGAAAATTATAGCAACAATGAACTGCATTGAAAAGAAAGGGATGCATAGTCCGAAAATATCCGAAGATAAATCAACGCGAGTTGCTTGTGACAAATATAGGTTGAGCTCTTATTTAACTTTAATTAATGAATTTGGAAATTAAAATTCACTTATCTATGTGAAAAGTGATGCCATTTTTTTTGAAATTACACATTTTGCTACTATTTCAGCACCATTTTATATATTTTATAGAAATAGTAGTTCCGCACTATTTTATTGTACAGAGAACCATGTTGCGTGTCTGTTGTATTTTATTTTGTCGAAAATTCACGAGTCACATGCAAGATATCCACGGCTCAGGGAAGTGGTCACTACTAAAGTAGATCGTGCGATCGTTTTCTTAAGTAAGACGTATTTGTCTAACGTGTTGACAGAAAGTGTTTGCCTTGCATGAGGCATCTATTCGGGCTGTGTAGTCGTTGTGCGTGGTCATACATAAAAAATATACGTGTCGACTTGAATACCTCCTCCGTCTTTTCGTCGGTTGATAAAAACTTTATAATATTAATTGGTGTTTAGCGTGCAGAGACTGTGCGAAGTGCTCAGCTGCTACCGGGGCGGGCAGGACCGCACTGTTATCGGCGAGAGGTACGGCTATGGCTACGGCAACATAGAAACTGCCGCCAAAGGTAACTAACTACACTGTAACTTTGTTTCCCTACTCAGCAATAACTGCGTAAAAACTTTCTTCTAGGAAGTTATTGTTATGAGTTTAAAGTCAAAATTTTGACACATCTCAACGTTTCGATGTCTTTAAAGTCAGAATTTTTTGTTTTACTTTGCGTCGGTGTGTGTGTGTGTGAATGACTCCGTCGTTTAATTTGAGTCGCTTAAAACTACAGATGATTGAGAAAGAAATGATCCGTAACAAAAAAAAACCGGAACGTTTTTAACTGACCTGTAAATGATTGTTTTGCGCGAATGGTTAAGATACAAGTAATAATAAAATAACTCTAATAAAAAAGTATAGATCATTTTTGCATAGCCTCGTTCAATTTTATTAACGCATAACTTAATTGTACCGATGGTACCTGTGGTATGGTAATAGCAGTGCGGACCGCTAACACATAAAATGTTGTGTTGTGTGTCTCTTAACACAAGTATTTCAGCTTACCAGTAGTGGACAAAATATTAGTATATTACTATTAATTCATTGCTAGTATTTTTTTAAATACATGAAAAAAATCGATGAATTTGATAAGTACTGCATCACTAGGCTACGAGTACATAACGGGCGGGGGCGGGACGGTGCTGAGCGTGGGCGCGGCGCGGGAGCTCCGCTCGTGCGCGTGCGCGACGCGCGCCGCTCCCGACGACATGGCGCTGGGCGCATGCGCACGACGACGCAACGTCACGCTCGCGCACTCGCCGCTCTTCCACCAGGTGCGTCATGGAATAGAATAGAATCAAGTATATGACTAGGCTACGAGTACATAACGGGCGGCGGCGGCACGGTGCTGAGCGTGGGCGCAGCGCGGGAGCTCCGCTCGTGCGCGTGCGCGACGCGCGCCGCTCCCAACGACATGGCGCTGGGCGCGTTCGCACGACGACGCAACGTCACGCTCACGCACTCGCCGCTCTACCACCAGGTGCGTCATGGAATAGAATAGAATGAAATATACCACTAGGCTATGGGTACATAACGGGCGGTGGCGGGACTGTGCTGAGCGTGGGCACGTCATGGAATAGAATAGAATCAAATAGCGACATCTGGCGAGCGTTAGTTAATTATTTATTAGCCCTTATTGTCGGTCTAGTAGTATACAAAGTATTTGAATATACTAGAATAATTATTATTCATTATAGGTAACATGATTGCTTGTTGAATCTCATTTATGGTTTTCCTACTGCAATGGTTAGAAAAAAATCTCTGTCTTGACAAAAATCAACAAGAAAGCCAGCGTGACAAGTTTTTAAAACAATCATTTACTATATAACATTTTATATAATTATATATTTTATGTAGAAGCAGCATGGCAGCGAGAACCTCATTTCCAGGGGTTATTATCAGTCAAGTACTCATTAATGGTATAATAACACTAATTGAAAATGTTTTTTTATATTTTTAAACGAAGTAATTCTCATAAATAAATAAAGGCAAAAGTTATATTCGGCGCAGCCGCAACAATTTTTTAAGCAAATTGTGTTGTAAAATTTTACATGGTAGAGCAACGCTGCAGCCAAAATATTATTATTGTAGCACGAATGGGTCGGCTCGACCGAAGTAGGACTACGCTCTCACGTAATACAAGTGTAAAATAGCAGCTTTGATACTGCTTTGTTTCGTATGGTGATTAGGTTTAAAGAATTTATTCTCACAAAAAGATTACATAATCCACTTACATGAGAACAATAATATAAACTTAATCTAGGTAACGGTCACCGTATTCACAGTTCCATCGTGACACTCTCCGAAATTACAAGTCAGTAGCTTTCAAGAATGTAGTTGTGCAATTGAGACTTGAACTTGTTAAAGGAATCTATATTTTTAATATGAGAAGGTAGGCTGTTATAAAAGTGTGCTCCCTCAAAGGTAATATTTTTTTTTCCCTAATTTGGTACGTGTCTTTGGCAATACGAGCAAGCTAGGTCGATGAAGACTGCGTTTGGATATTTGTGACTTTTTGGTAAAGGACAAACTAGTTTGGATGTTTTTACTCATGATCTTCCTAATTAGAATGCAAGTGCTATATATATAAAGTTGTCGAATGTTCATTATTTTTGTGTCATCAAAAATTTTACGAGTCGATGTTAAGTACGGGTAGGAGAAAAGTATTTTTATTGCTTTATTTTGAGCTCTTTGTAGTTCCTGCAATTTCGTTTTGGCGGCACTGCCCCATATTTCTATTAAATATAATATATGAGATTTGATAAGTGAATTGTAAATATTGAAACGTAGTTTCCTAGGTATACATTGATTTATGTTACAGAGTGAACCCGTTAGCGACGATAATTTGCTTTTTATATATTCTATCTGTTTGTTCCATGTTAAATTACTATCCATTCTCAGACCAAGATATTTTTCACAAGTTTTTTGTTCGAGTGGAATGTTGTCAATTTTTAAAGGAGCATGCGGGGGGAATTATTTTATTTTTCGACTTGTAGATAATATAGCATGTTTTTAAGATGTTGATTGTTAACAGGTTGGACTGAAACCATTCAAACAACATGTTAAGGTCTTCTTGAGCTTTTGAGATGATTTCGTCCATATTTGTACCGAAATAGAATAGGCATGTATCGTCTGCGTACAAAGTTAAATGGCCGTGTAGTCTTAAATCCGTTATATTGTTAACATAGATAAGGAAAAGAAGCGGTCCCAATATGGACCCTTGTGGGACACCATATGTAATGGGTTGGGTATTGCTTTGGTTATTATCTATTTTGACTATCTGTACTCTATTTGTTAGGTACGACTCAAACATTTTAAGGGCACTACCTGTGATACCAATGTGCTCTAACTTTTTTAAAAGTAACTGGTGACTTACGGTATCAAAGGCTTTTTTCAGGTCGATGTAAATGCCTAGAACAATCCTTTTCTTATCCAGGTTTTCTTTAATTTTTGTTGTTAAATCTACTATTGCCGCAGTTGTATTGCTTTTTGACCGAAAACCGTACTGACGTGGAGATATAAAGTTAAATGAATCCAGGTAACTTGATAATCGGTTATGTATTACTTTTTCTAGGATTTTCGACAATATTGGTAGTACAGAAATAGGACGATAGTTTCCTGGGTCAGTTGTGGGCCCGGATTTGTAAATTGGTGTTACTTTTGCAACCTTCAAAGTATCGGGAAATTCGCCGTCAGTCATAAGTTTGTTTATTGAATGTGCCAGGCCTTCAGAGATTATATCTTGCAAACATTTTAGGACTTTTGTGCTGATTTTGTCTATTCCACTACTAGTATTGGGATTTAGGTTGTGAATAATTTTATTTATTTCATTTGCATTACATGGGGTAAAGGCAGACAGTTTATGATCGTTTATTTTTTGTTGTATGAAATCAGGATTCAAAGTACTATCGTGATATTTGTTAGGTATTTTGTTTGCTAATAGAGAACCTATAGTAGAAAAATATTTGTTAAAAATATCACAAACTTCATCTGTGTCGCTAATTAGTTCAGAGTCTATTAAGAGCTTTGGAGGAGCACTACTTTGTTTTGTTTTGTTATTTGCTAGGTTATTTATAAGAGCCCACATCTTTTTTAGGATTATTAGTATATTTTGTAAATAGTTTATAGTAGTAGGAATTTTTCGTATTTTGTATCAGTTTAGCAATTGTGGCTCTTTTTTGCTTGTATTCTTGTTCTAGTCTCTTGTCATCCTGATTTTTTTTTGTGTTGCAACCATAGGTAGTTCCTTTGGGTAATCCCAGTGATTATATCACTGTTGATCCAGTCATTTTTAGGCGGGTTCAGTGTTTTCGTTTTCACTACTCGATTACGTGCTACGCATTGCTTTATTTTATTTTCAAGATATTCGTAAGTGTCTGCAGTGGCTTCCGTTTCATATGATTCCATTTCAGTATACATTCTTTTGTAATCTATTGCCTCATAAGTCGTTCTTAAATTCTTGTGTGGTTCATATTTATTCAATTGCAGGAAGATCTGTTTGTGGTCTGTCATGGACGAGTTAATAATAACAAAATTGAATTGTTCACATTGAAGATTTGTGCTGACATGGTCTATGATAGATTTCTTCGTCTCTGACTCTCTAGTACAATATTTTTTGTGAATTTTATTTAATAACTTGTGGCCTGATTCTCTTATTGTATGTTTGTACTTAGTTGAAGTTTTGTCATTCGTAAGTAGGTCTATGTTGAAATCTCCGAATATAATTGATCTCTTTTGTTGTAGTAATTGTGCACCATATATTTTTAAAAACTTTTCAACATTGGTATGTCCGGGTTTGTATACCACGCCAATATTGATTCCGAATTTTTCTAGGTGTATCCATAAGAAGTTGTTTCCTTCTAGATACGTCGATTCTATAGAGTGATGTTTCAAGTTGTTGTGTATGTACGCTGATACTCCTCCACCTATGATATCGTTCCTGTAGTTATAATAATGAGTGTAGTTATCGATCTGTAATTGTCGGGCTTGTTCTTCATTTCGTATCCAGGTTTCTGTTACTAATATTACGTGTATAGGTGTTGGTGTCGATTTTAGAATACATTTAAGTTCGTCTAACTTTCCTTTTTTTCTGATACTTCTTGCATTTAGGTAGAGAAATGAAACACCTGATTTTCTTGTCTGTATGAGTCTGTAGTCACTTACAATTTGATATAATATATCAGAATTCTTTGTATGCCTTATTGGCCGTTGGAGTTTTTTGAGACAGATTTAACGATGTTTGGTATGCCATTTATGTATCTTATCGTAATATCATCTTCTCCGTTATTTTTGCGTCTTGTAAGTTCATTCTTTATGGTTAGAAAGTGCTTTTGTTGAGCAGGAGTTTGGTCAGAGAAAATTTTGATGTTAGATGGTAATTTGGCTTTGTTACGTAGTAGTACCATTGCAGGCTCTGGTTTGTCAAAACAGACTTTAATTCTACGAGTCTTTTCAGGTTTGTATTTGCCAATACGAAAAATTTTAATCGGCTTGGGAATGTCTTTGCTTACCACGGCTGTTATGTTTAAAGATTTTTGTTAGGCTGTTATGTTTTTAGATTAAGTGTACTAATATGCAATGTCTTAGTTATCATCCCCGTGGACTAATATGTAATGTCTTAGTTATCACCCCTAAGGACTAATATGCAATGTCTTAGTTATCATCCCCGAAGACTAATATGTAATGTCTTAGTTATCACCCCTAAGGACTAATATGCAATGTCTTAGTTATCATCCTCGAGGACTAACATGTAATGTCTTAGTTATCACCCCTAAGGACTAATATGCAATGTCTTAGTTATCATCCCCGTGGACTAATATGTAATGTCTTAGTTATCACCCCTAAGGACTAATATGCAATGTCTTAGTTATCATCCCCGAAAACTAATATGCAATGTCTTAGTTATCACCCCTAAGGACTAATATGCAATGTCTTAGTTATCATCCCCGAGGACTAATATGTAATGTCTTAGTTATCACCCCCAAGGATTAATATGTAATGTCGTAGTTATCTCCCCTAAGGACTAATATGCAATGTCTTAGTTATCATCCCCGAGGACTAATATGTAATGTCTTAGTTATCACCCCCAAGGATTAATATGTAATGTCGTAGTTATCTCCCCCTAAGGACTAATATGCAATGTCTTAGTTATCATCCCCGAGGACTAATATGTAATGTCTTAGTTATCACCCCCAAGGATTAATATGTAATGTCTTAGTTATCACCCCTAAGGACTAATATGCAATGTCTTAGTTATCATCCCCGAGGACTAATATGTAATGTCTTAGTTATCACCCCTAAGGACTAATATGCAATGTCTTAGTTATCATACCCGAGGACTAATATGTAATGTCTTAGTTATCACCCCTAAGGACTAATATGCAATGTCTTAGTTATCACCCCTAAGGACTAATATGTAATGTCTTAGTTATCACCCCTAAGGCATAATATGCAATGTCTTAGTTATCATCCCCGAGGACTAATATGTAATGTCTCCCAGACCCAATTTTGGTCACTGTGGCTCAACGGAGACTAGCCATGTGCGATTTACATGATCATAGTGCGCAAACACAGGTGGTCTCTCTATTCTCTCACTTACATGGTCCGATGGGCGGTAATTTGACCGACCGAAAAGAGATCAGTTGCAGGATAAACTGTTTATTGTGTTTTCCGCAGCCCCTTAGTTAAAAACACCGCCAGCTTCCTGACTCTGGACCGCTACTGAGAATTTCTTGACAGCGATTCGAATTCGGGACCACATGATCAGCAATCGCGTTGACGACCATTAGATCAATCGTTGCTTTATGGAAGTTTACTTATTTTTTTTAATTATGTTAAGGCGCGGCCACAGGATTACGCGCGGGAAGTGTTGGCGCGGGACCGGCCGGTTTCTTTCCACCGGCACTCGTCCCCCGACCCGCTGCGGGTGTACGCTACTTGGTTTCAACATGAAGATTTGGCGCTAAAGCGTAGAAAGAACAAAGATGAACTTTAGATCATTAAATTTAATAATTATTGTGTAAATAGAAGTCTACACAAATACCATGTCATAATGTTTTGTAATCGTTTAAGTTTAAGAACTTTACTGATATGTTTTATGACACTTCTAATTGGATGTAGTTTTCGCGAGGTGTTGCTTTTTCACGTTGTAGTCTAATTTTCCTTGTTACTTAAATGAAAAAAAACTCATAAGACTAAGTGGTCGATAGGCCAATCTCATATAAAATTTCGCCCATTGCCCAGGGTGTACCGTACATACTTGTATAAAAGCTGATAACGAATTTTGAATAGATATTTTTGGCACATGACATCACATAATATATGAATAAAGTTTAGCTTGTATTACAGTTATCAAATTTAAATTCATAATATTTGATATAGTTAAAAATATAATAAAATGTTATAGGAGAAAAAAGTGGATACATAATATTATGTTATTATGTAAACAAACATGCTCTTTCACTACTTGGACGAAGTATTATTATTATTAAGGTTACTATAGAAACTAGTAACAGTTAATAATTTATAGGTTGTGTCGCAGACGGGCCTAAAATAGATTACGCACGATGGATCTGTATTAATAAACGGCCGGGTTGTTATTGATTTGTCCTTAAGGGCGCATAGTACTTCAAATGGCTTAGCAAGATCCTCTGTTATGCCGAAAATACTGCAGCATTGTTTTTGAAATAAATATATGGTGAAGTTAAGGATTAACGTTAAGTACTATGTTAGACGAAAACACGATTCCATAAAATTTTCTCGATAGAAAAAACAATCCAAAGTTACCTCCAAACCGAACTATAAACCGCTGGTATTCAAAAAATACTTAAAATTAGATCATGAAACTTCGCATACTAACTGAACTAACTATAAAGCAGGGCTTATACTTTCTACTTTCACCGTAAAAAGAAATTACCTAAACTATCGTCGTTTTAAACCGCCCGACACCGTCATTCACTCTAGCTCCGGCTTTTGAAGGAAAGGGTTGTGTCGCTTGTGCTCAGAACACACGTAAAATTATTAACGACCTAAAATTAAAATATTAAAATAGACACTTAGGTTTATAGTGTTGGCGCAATGGGAAATAAGCGTAATAAAAATAAGAAGCGTATTAATGAAGTAAGTATCTACCGACCTATCTATTTACAGTATTAGTGATTACAATATTATGTAGAAATTTAGCATAATATGACAGGTTTGGTGCAGTGGCTAAGCGATTGGTTGTTGCGCTACTAGTCACAGGTGTTTCTGTATGTGAGAATTTGTGGTTGTAATCGCACCGTTTACGATTCAGGAGAAATCGAGTGTGGTGCAACTTTATGAAAAAAAAAGATAAAGTTACCTAAATAGGTTTGTTTTTGTTTTATCAATATTCAACAAAATTAGTAGTAATTGTTTTTTTTATAACGTTGCCCCACACCAGGATTTCTCCTGAATCGGAGACGGTGCGATTACAAACACAAATTTTCACAACTATATGTAGGCCATTAAAATATTTGTTCCGTATGGGAATCGAACCCCCGACCCGTAGTGCAGAAGCCAAGCACTTAGTAATAAAAAAATATAAGTGTATTCGGTAAGTACCTACCTATAATATCTAACTATAAATAAATAAAACTAACTTACTTATCCGTCCTTACATTATCGGTACTCCGTAGTGCACTGGCTTAGCAATGAGTTGCTGCGCTGGAGTTCGTGGGTTCGTGGGTTCGAATCCCGCACGGAACAATTATTAGTATGACCTACAAATAATTGTTCCGGATCTGGATGTTTGTCTTTGTGCAATTTATATTTGTAAACTGCCTCCATGATACAAAAGAAAATCCTAAAGTGGGGGTAACGTTTTTAAAATAATAACTTATCTGACTATAGTGCTACCTACTACATAAGTAAAAGTAGTTAAAAGTTACAGCCTATATACGTCCCACTGCTGGGCACAGGCCTCCCTTCATTTCTCAGAGGTTTTAGGGCAAGGTAGTATCCGCCACGCTGCCCCAATGCGTGTTGGCCAACTTCACATGTCTTCGAAAATATTTTTTTTTCTTAATCCTCAGACATGCAGGTTTCCTTACGATGTTTTCCTTCACCGCCGAGCACGTGGTAAATATCCGTGGTAGTAAAAAATAAAGAGCCGTGGTAGCTCAGATGGTTAACGTTCGCTGTAAATATAACGGAATGCGAGTAACCCGGGTTCGATCCCCGCCGGCACCAATGAAATTGTTAATTGCAATTTTAAGTGCAATTTTAAGTACTACATAAGTACATAAAAATTATGGACCTATTGAGTACTGACGTACCTTGATAGTTTAGCCTTAGCTAAACTGTGAGTACGTGAGTATTTTCTACCTAACTAAACATGTAACAGATATGTTACTAGTACACATGGCTACATAATTACCAAACTACACCCTCCAGTATAAGCTGATTTCAAATTGTAAACGCATTACGTACAATGAGAGGTCAGCTTTTACTGGAAATTTCCTCCTATAGTGGAAGGATCTGCCTATTGTTGGTTTAGTACTAAGCTTGAGTTTTATAGTTTTCGCCGTGTATGTATGTAATGTGACAGCCGTTTACGTATGTAATTATGTTGGTAGCAGGTCTATGCAAGTACCTACATATAAATACCTATATAAGAAATATTGCAAACCGATTCTAAGCCACTGCATAAATTCTACTGCTACAAAAAACTAGTCAAGCGCGAATCACAATTGTACCACGGTAATTTTATCTATAACAGTATTGTCTCGGCCGTATCTTTGAAACAAATGCCTACAGCCGCGCGGTATGTAAACATGCGATAGGGCTGCCTGCCTCCAGAATTTTAATTACATTTGCCTACTTTGTGTTTCCATTTAGTTTTATGATTGTAAATATACTTTTTTATATAAACAAATAAAATAGGTATTTTGTGAATTGAATAGGAAGTGTTCAATAAAAATGCGTGTCGTTTTTTGATTGGTAGATTTAATTTAAAAAAAACATGTTTATGTTTGAATAACAAATCTGTCTTGTAAATTTACGACCGAAAAATATTTGTGCCTCGACTGAGACGTACGAAATGCTTTATTATTAAATTTTTAACTATAAAAAATCCGTTTTCTAATATAAAGCTTAATTAAAAATTGTTTTGGTAAACATGGACAGGGTGGAGAAAAGGCATATCTTTTACTTGGTTATAGATACCTGCAGCTACTTTACAATTTATATGTTTGGTTTTAAATTCAGAATATTTCCTCCTTTTTTTTTATATATTCAAAAAAGACATCACTGCGGCACAGTCGCGACTGCCTGCATGCCGAGATCGAGACGCGTAGGCATAGCTCCCGCTTCGTCCGTTTGTATGAAGTTGGTATACTGTATAGATAAAATTACCGTGATTGTACTGAAGTTCTTTAAGCATTGGCTTGGTGTAGCGTTGCCAGACGTCCGGATAAAGCCGGACACAGTCAGGCATTTTATATATATATATATATATATAAACATAACATAACATAAACACTCACCCTTCACCCAATAAGAGACTACAGCTTCCATTTACGATCCTATATATATATATATATATATATATATATATATATATATATATATATATATATATATATATATATATATGTAATCTTATAAACTTACAATATAGTTTTTTTAAGTTGTAAGAATGTGCCGTTAGTATTATGTACAATGAATTAAATTTGCGACCGATAATTTTATGTTCATATAATGACAAGCTAATATTAAATTATGACTGAAAACTTTATTACCTACTTAGTGCTCGTCCGATAAGAGTTTATTTTACTCCAACAAAATCGCTTTGGCCTCGTGTTCCCGCGTGACCTCAAGCCACGCATAGTGTGCGAACGAGTGGCGCGGGAAAGTGGAGACGAAATTAGAATTTGAGCTGAGGTAGCATAGGCCGTTAACTTGAGGAGTGAGGCTACAGTTGTGCGTATTGAATTAATTTAATTTGCGATAGCTTAAAGGAAGACATAAAATAAACAAAGAAACGCGCGTGTATAGCGGGTCCTCACCGTCATTAATTCTTCCTCAGTAAGAATAAGTTTAAATCGGCAAAATTAAATATAGCCCTATTTTTTGTTTGTATCATCAATTTTGCCAAAGATTTTGGCTCTATACTTAACTTCATTTTTCCGGAGGGAAATCCAGTCAATATCCAACATTGTTGGATCGGTTCATTAATGAATTCATTCACTTTTTCAGTTTCAAACGATTTACTTTAGTGTACGAATGAAAATAAAAATGAACGAAAAATGAACTGTCTGATATCACCTTTAGTGCTAATAACGTTTCATTATTTGTTTAAATGTATTTATTTAACTTCATGGACCATAATATATGATATATAGGCGTAATTAATGTCAAAGGCATTGTCTACTTGTTCAGCTTTTAGGGGATGCAGACATAAAATATGAAGTAGATTTATAAAAGAAGTGTATGAGTGTATAAGTTAATAAAAGATAAAAATATAAATAAGGTAAAGTAAATGAAGTGTATAAATATAAATGAAAGTAAATAAATTAAAAATAAAATAATACATATACGTACTCATACATAAATTCGCATATCAAATTTTATTTAAATCACAGTCGGGAAGAAATCTTTTCAAATTATATCATATATTTCGAGTTTGGAGATACTATGATAACGTAGAAATGGAATAACTATAACCTAAAAAAAACTGTGGTTGCTAACCCGCTTGCCAAGTGTGGCAATGAGGGCAAATAACTCCCCCAGCATAAAGTAACGTATGGGAGAGGCCTGTGTCCAGCAGTGAACTTTTGATAGGCTGTAATGGTAGCGATATGTTTGTCTGTGTCCTTATGTTTTTTTCCAAATAAGTATGTTTATTTCTTTGTATTGTTATTTTGCGTGCATACCATCTGAAAAACGTTCATACCATCTGAAAAACTTTCATACCTACCGAAAAACGTTCATAAAATTAATCATCAGCAGTCTTGCACTGTTGTGTGTTTAGTA